AAGTCTGCATCATTTCCAGGACACCCAGTCCCAGCACGCAAGGTGCTCTGATGCCAGAAGGAAGACCCGGCCAACAAGATTCACTTGAAAATGTTTGCAGCTGGTGGCACTGAGCTCAGCACACATAACTGGGGTGGGCAGAGGACCAGCAGCAACCCCTCCCTTCTGATAAAGCAACAGAAAAGCCCAGCATCACAATGAGAGAAACAAAGTTCTCAGCAGCAAGGAACTCCCCCACTGGCCCCACATCTTGACCTTGTTTTGCAGGCTCCTCCTTCCCTTCTTCCACGGTGTTGGAACCTACCGGGTGACACAGGCACCAGATAGATCGCTCGTCTGCAGACAGCGCACGACCTGGAGGGAGCTCCGGCTTCACAACACTATGGAGCCTCGTGGCCTGCCACGCGAGCGGCCTCCTCAGGCCCGTGGTTGCAGAGGACCACGCCTCTGTCTTCCTGTGTGGTTTAGGGAAGACTTCCAGAAGGGGTAGGACAGCAGATGAGGGGGAGCCTCCTGGATGGCAGAGGGAGAATCATCATGGACAGGATACAGGAGTACAGGACGTGTAACAAGCACACAGGCCCACCACCAGTCCCAGCCTCGGTTTCCCCGTTGACAGAATAGAGATTATGCTTCCCACTTAGAATCCAAGATTCCCAAAAGTCCAGAGACTGTGAAGTGAATCTATTGTAACAGGTTAGAAATAGTTTTGAAAAGATATTTAAGTAGGATCAGTGGCCACCAGAAGGCCGTGGGGTGTGGGGAAAATGTCAGAAACCTCGGTGGACTTCGGTCTTCACGTCTGAGAATAAGGGTTTTCTGGGGGAGAGCCCCCCTCCCATAGCTCCCGGGGGAACATCTGAGGCTTTGCAGGACGAGAACAGGCTGGGGCCCCTGGGGCCATGACAGAGCAAATGCCAACGTGGTGGAATCTGGCTGTGGACACCTGTCTGCTTGCGGGTGGAGCACCAAGCAGTTTTCTCTTTGAGGCTCCCGGAGCCTCTGTTTCGGGCATGATAATTCTTTTGCTTACACCGACTGTCTATAGCACAACATTAAAAGGCCGTTTGTGCTAACGGGTTGGTTTAATCAGTGCCATCTGATAATCTGAGCCATAACATTGAGTTTAGGTTCCGATTTATTTTAAAGTATTTTCAAACTGGTTGGATAATTGTTCAAACTTCATCTGATTTGTGTCGGGTGGAGATACGTTGAGAGCAGGTGTTCAGTGTGGGGTGAAGTGCGTGGAGCCTGGGATGTGACGCTATCTGCCGCCTGGACTCAAGCCGGCCTCCCTGCAGTCTTCAGGTCCCGGCATCTACAGACTCTGGTCTCCCGGGCCGGCCAGCGATATGGCCCGGACGCGTCACGCCCCGGCGTGGCCTGCTCCTGCAGCTCCCTCGGGGCTGTGGCAGCATCGGGGTCCCTCTCTGTGCCTCCCAGCTCCGCTGAGGTGGGGCCGCCGTGGCCGGCACTGCAGGCTCACCTCTCCCTTCGGGAGGACACGCGAACGCATAGGTCCCGGCTCCTCATCCCCACCGTCTCACCGACGGTCTCCATCCACCACTGCCCCCAGCCTCGGGGGTACAGCGTGCGGGAAAACCGCAGGCGTTGCTTTCTTCAGCCACATGCCCTAAGCTCTCCCGTCGTGGAGCCCTAGCCCGCTGGCCCAGAACACGCAGAGGCCAAGGGCTCAGCGGGTGAGCTCCGGGTGCCAGGCACCCTGTTCACGCCGGTGCCCGAGGTCAGGTGTCCAGAGTTTCCACAGCTGCAACAAGCTGTCCCCGCAGAGGCCCCGTGACACAGGTGCTCAGATCCAAATGGAGTTAAAGCGAAAACGAGTCGGGGAGAAGTCCTTTCTCTCTGCCAGAGGGTCCGCCCAAGCAGGTGTGTCTACACCTCAGACCCAGCGGGGTGGGGGAGCCAGAAGCACGGCTGGGAAGGGCTAGGCGGCGTCGTGAGGAGGAAAGTAATAGAACTGTTACCCAGAAGGATTTCTGCCTTGTGAGGTCAACGATTTCCTACAACCGGGAGGGTGGCGGGGCTGGAGCCGGAGTAGGCGCCGGCCTTCGTGACCCTCACGGTGGACGTGTGCACAATCTCACTCACTCCACCCACACGGCTACCCCAGGCCTCCTCAGCCCCTTCCTCCCTCCCCAAACTGTTCCCAGCCAGTCACCCCGGAACCTAGTCTGGGTCCAGGGCCGTTACGGCCTCCTGGATCCCTCCGGAAAGCCGCTGGGAGAGGCCACCTTCCCAGCTGCAACCCGTCCTCCTGACGGTGCCAGCGCCCACGCGTCTCGCGGAGAGGCCTGGCCTCAGGGGAGAAAGGGCCAGAGGCAGTGCCGAAGGAGCGGAGAGAGAGAAGGGGGACACTGGAAGCTGGTGACGCCGACCGCATCTGCGGGGGTGGACTTCTCCGGATGCGGACCGAGGAAGCCCCAGAGACCACACACGCAGACCGCAGAGACCGGCGACCCGGCAGGGAGAGGCCCTTCACGGCCCCCCACCCCGCCCCACTGATCTGCGTGGAACATTTCTTACCAAACCCCTGAGCAGTGCAGACGAGGACTGACTAAGGCAGGAGCAGAGATACAGCTGAGAACACAGTGTGAAAAGCTTCCTTCTCTGTGGATTTCTAGAACCTGTCTCTGCTGAGGTCCGCTAACTGGGGTGGCAGGGACTGTGGATGTGAGGGGCGTCCAGGGCCACTCTCGGTCTTCACCACGGCGTTGGTCTCCCGAGCACACAAGTCTCTCGACACTCGTCCGACTGTGAGCTTAATATGTGTGTGTCTTACCGCGCGTAAGTTAGACCTCAAAGTTGTTTGGAAAAACAAGATGGGGGGCGCCTGGGGGGGGGCTCAGCCGCTTGAGCCTCCGATCTTGATTTCGGCTCAGGTCCTGATCCCAGGGTCCTCAGTCTCCACACCGAGCATGGAACCTGTTTGAGAGTCTTTCTCTCCCTCTCTGCTCCTCCCCCTGTCATTCTCTTGTGCTCTCTCTCTCTCAAAAAAAAACCCCCAAAACAAAAAAAGATGACCCAATTAAATAAATACATAAAAATATATCCATAAAGAAAACCCAACATAGGGAAGTGTTGGCTCTAAATACACTCAAGGGAATCTGTGGAGGGGACGTTTCCGGAAGAAAGTGTCACCTGTCAGGCTCACCTGGTTGGGCCCTGCACCAAGTCTGTGGTCCCCATGATGTCAGTGGCCTTTCTAGCCTCCACAAAAGGAACAAATTATACTCACTCAGGTGTGTTATGAACTCTAAGCTGATGTGTTTTAAAATACCTGACACACAGTAGGTCCTCACTAACGGGCAGTGGGGGTACCTGGTGTGACAGAAAGAATGTGAACTCAAATAGCAAACAAAAAGGACTTTTCAGCCCCTCATTTAACAAACTAAAGTGGAAAACAGCTTTTATACACTATTCATCAGATTGGTGAATAAATGTTAAAATCATGATACATTTTGTTGGTAAAGAGCAGCTGGTTGGTTTATGTAAATTGGCATAAGTTTTCCAGTGGGAATTCATAAAGAGACAGCAAGTGTCTTTACAATGTTCATTCCCTTTGACAATATAATTCCACCTAAAAATTTATTATAAAGGAAAAATGAGACACAATGATTATGTAAAGATATTCAATAAATACTATTCGGATGCTAGAATTTGGAAACAATCCAAACATCGAAAGATAGGAGAAAGATCAACTCTATCAGGGTGCAGCTGGAGAACAGGACACACTTGTTCTCCACCAGATTCTTTCCAGCTGCATCATACAGTAAACGTTTGTTTATTACATCATACATACATCATACAATACTTACAATATGTACATACATCATACAATAAACATTTGTTTATTGGTTGGTTGGTTTGAACAACAAATGTTTGAAGTAAAGTTCTTCAAGCAAGACTTGGTTCAGTCCCTCCGTTCAGAAGACCCAGGGGTGTCAGGGTGTCCAGAGAAGAGGGGTGGGAGAGCCTCACCCCAGCACCTAACCCTTCAGCCTGAGGGACCTGACCCCCACTCCCATCTGCTGACGACAATAATCACACGGGCGCTCTACCCAAGCTTCAGGAAGCGAGACCCTCTGTGTACTCGTAGGAGGGGAACAAAATGCAAGCAGGCTTCGCCATGTTCCCCATCTTTCCTGCTGAGCTCCTAGGAACAACCTGGCATCTTGTTCAGCATTTATGCCCACTGCCAGAACAGGGCAGGGCACAGAGCAGGTCTCAGTGAGTACGGGAGTCAAAGAGACACATCTAAAAGGAGGAGATGCTTTCCAGGCAAGAATAGAACAAGCGAAGGAGGCAGGCAGACATTTAACAAGCACGTTTCACTTGACCTTGGGATTTCAAGGTCACACTACCCTGGTAATCAAGAGGCATTTTGTTACCCAGACTTATCCTTTTCAAGAAGATGGAGAAGGAAAGAAATTTGGGGGAAAAAGAGTCCAAGAACCTACCTCTGACCCCATCTGCCCTCCAGGTGCAGAAACACACACACACAACAGATGCCTTAAAGTACTTACCCAGGGCGCCTGGGGGGCTCAGTCTGTTAAGTGTCCGACCTCAGCTCAGATTATGACCTCACGGTTCGTGAGTTCCAGTCCCGCGTCGGGCTCTGTGCTGACAGCTCAGAGCCTGGAGCCTGCTTCCGATTCTGTCTCTCTCTCTCTCTCTCTCTCTCTTGCTGCCCCTCCTCTACTCGCACTCTGTCTCTCTCTGTCTCTCAAAAATAAATAAACATTAAACATATATATATGTGAAAAAAATAAAAATAAAAAAATAAAGTACTTACCAGTCTGCCGGGGGCCTCCGGGCACCCCCTCGAAACTAAGAGAGGCTTGGAACATCGCAGGGAAAGGACATGTGCTAGTCCAAATGCTTCATTCGGCAAACTCGCCGGGGCTGCTCCACTGAGGCTGGGCTCCCTCAGTCAGTGGCTTCGGAGTCCGAAACACCCCCCCGCCCCCCCGCCCCCGTACCTCCTGCGCTGCCACGCGTCCTCGTCCTCACAGGCGGTAAGAGGCAGCAGCTGCACTCGCTGCAGGAAGCGGGAAGCGTCAGGAGAGAGGGCTCAGCCCTCCACAGCAGCCTGCTCACCAGCGTCACCGAGCAGTGCGAGGACGCCACTCACCCTGGGCCCAGGGAGGGAGGGGGCTGCAGGACCTCAGCACACTCCAGGCCGCCAGCTCTGATCTCAACATTTGCTTGGAGAGTCCCCACCTACGGGAATCTCTTCTGGGCTGCTGAAAGGGAGCTGCTGGGCAGGTCACCCAAAAATCTGTTGATTGAACTCTCCTTGAACATTTTATTTCTCTCTGTTCCTCCCCATTCTGCCACTGCCTGGCACCCCGTGAGCCCGCCGGGTCAGGACCGTATAAACCAGGGGCCCCTTCCTGTGTTGGCACTGGCAACAGCCCAAAGGCTCGATAGCCTCCCTTTCCTCCTGATTGGAGGAACACAAAGCCGGCAGAAGCCGTGCCGACTGGCCCTGCCCTCTGGGTGGCTCAGGCAAGCTACCATGAGACCGGGGTGACAGGTACAGGCACCTCGTCTGGGGCGTCAAGAGAGGGTTCCCTGGAAGCTGGCATTTTGAGGAGGAGCTGGCTAGACAGCAGAGCATCCAACAGATGGAAAATGGCATCTGAGGCCTGGGCAGGAGGGAGGGTGGAGAGTGTGAGGCAGCAGCCGGCACGGCTGGAGCTGAAGTGACAGGCGGGATACAGGTCACACAAAGGACAAACCAGGTTAGGAAGTTAGACCCTTGCAGCACCTGGGTGACTCAGTCGTTGAAGCGCCCTATTCTTGACTTTGGCTCAGGTCATGATCTCATGGTAGTGAGAGCTAGCCCCCACTCAGGCTCCGTGCTAAATGTGGAGCCTGCTTAAGATGCTCTCTCTCCCTCTCTGCCCCTCCCCACTTGCATTCTCTCTCTCTCTCTCTCTCTCTCTCTCAAAATATAAAAACGAAAAAGAAAAAAGAGCTTTGAACTTCATGCTGGAGCAGTGGATGCCTTCGCTGGTTTTAACCAGGGGTGACACACTCAGAGCTGTGCTTTGGGAAGCCCCTGGTAGCCCGTGGGGAGTGTGGTCCGTATGGTGCTGCCCCACAGAGACCCTTAGCATCTACCTCTCACCGGCGTGGTGAGTAATGGGCCAACAGGCAGAGCCTGGGCCCGGACCCGGGACTGTGGCACCAAAGCTCCCAAGCAAATAAATTTGTGTCTCAGCCCGTTTGGTTTGCTTGGTTTCATCTGAACACGCAAACGGGGAAAACCTCCCTAAAGTCCACTGCATTTGAGATGCGTCATCTCATAGACACGGCCTGGCACGCACATCGGTCAATTACACCACGTGTGTGTGTGTGTGTGTGTGTGTGTGTGTGTGTGTCTATTCACCGTATAACTCACCTTCATGCATCTGCTCATGGGAGGTTTCAAACGTACGGAGGAGGGGAGAATGGCAGAGTCAACCCCACCAGGTGCCTGCATCCGGCTTCCACGAGTGGCCCTTCTTGTTCCGCCCGCGTGCCGCCCGCACTCCGTGCCCCGTCTCGGGTCATTTTGAGGCAAATCCCAAGCGTCAGAGGTAATACTGTCTCATCTATAAATATTTTAGAGTTTTTCCTCTAAAAGATGAGGGCTGTTTTTTATTTAACAATAATAACCTCTCACATCAAAAAAACCCGATGAGTACACTTAAATATCATTAAAATGCACAGCTGGCTCTGAATGTTTTTAACCAAGTTTCTTCCAACTCCTGCCATCCCCTTCCGTTCTTCTTACACCCGGGGGTGTCCTGACTGTGTCCTTCAGGGGTCTGATCAGATTCGTGTTCACCGTTCTTTGCAGAAATACCTGGTGAGTGGTGGTGTCGGCCTGTCTGAATCGACAGTGCGAGGCGAGTCACGGGGCCCCGAGTGAACGGTCCCGGAGCCGCTCTCGGGCTTTCACTCAGGTGGCCTGTCTGCAACTTGGCAACTACTCGTTGCTTGGAGCTTCCCAGCGCACGCAGTTAGAAACGTGGTCACTGCCGTTCCCCACCGAAGTGGCCCAGGGCTCACGGGGAAGAGGCAGAGCCCGGGCAGAGGAAGCAGCCGTGGGCCTGGGGCACCCGCTGAGCCTGAGAGGCGGTGCCCCTGAGGACACAGGGACACTGCCTAAATCTGCAGCAGCGACAGACCACGACCTGCTGCGTCCCAGGTGGCTTGCGAGTCTGTCCTGCCACGAGCAAGAAGGGAGTGTGCGCCCTGACTGCAGAAATGCAGACTCAGCAACACTGAAGTCCTGAGGGTTCTTTGCACCGTTCTGAAGTCTCAAATTACGTCCAGACGAAGGAAGACACCTCAGGAGAAGCACGTGTGCCTCACCTCACTCACTGGTCTCACCGGAGTCCCAGGGAGGCTGGACGGTAGAGGCCCTAACAGGAGACCCCGGCTGGGTGTTGTGCGAGCCTTTCTTACTGCGTGGCCACAGCCCACACTCAGGGTTCCTCTCAGGACCGGGAAGCCCGGCGCACGGCTCAGCGCGGCTCCTGCCGGAGGGACCCGCCACTCTCGCTGTTCTGAGTGCCCTATCGCTCCTTCCTGCCCCGGCAGGGCACTTGGAGAATGTGGCTGGAAGTGGTGGCACTGGCCACTGCCTGGCAGGTGAGTCACGGCAGGTCTACAAAGGCCCCTGTTTTTATCTGGCTCTTTTGGATCTGCCCACCTGATTTCCTGCTGCAGGTGACATAAACCCTGAAAGCTGAGAGGCCATCTGTAAATGTCAAATTAAAACATTATTCTCAGAAGGGACTCAGGGAGTCCAACAGAGCCCTGGGAGCTCCAAAACCTCAAGCTTTAAGTCTGATTTGTTCCTCAGGCAGGTTACTTGCCTCAGAGGAAAGATGGAGGGATTTCCTGACTTTACAAGGCTGAGGAGGTGAAGGTGAGGTTACCTTTGAGTATTTTGAGGTCCTTTTATGGAGTGGGCTTCACAAGAATCCCAGCAAACTCCGTACTTTTGAAAATAGATGAGCTCTCCAATTTATTACCCACACCAGGCCACTTCTGAAAGCGTGAGGGAACCACTAACACTACTCCAGGCTGGCAAGTGTGAACGGGTGCACGGCCACCAGCTCTTACACTGGATCCTGACTCCCGAGGGCAACACTGGCAGCTCCTTCGGTGATGCTAGAATATGCTGCTAACCCTTTCCAGGGAGCCTGGGGTGCAGGGCAAGGACGGAGCTGGTTCAGAGCCCCGAATCTGCCCCACTCACACCCTGGCCCTGCCACTAACTTCTTTCCATGGAGAAATCCCTCCACCGGAGCCCTCGCCTGGAAGGAGCTATTCCAAAATAACAACCCAGGCGACCCAAAGGGTCGGGATAGACTGGGTTGTGTCCGACACAGAAGCATCCACAGAGGGGTGCTCCGGGATTTGTGTGTGTCGTCGAGCCCACCTGGTGTTGTTTTGGGGGGTCTCGCTCATCTGTATACGTAAGGACAGACGTGCTGACTGGTTAGCACACATGCTGTCCTCCCCCCTCCCCGGAAGACCCCACAGTTTCCACCTGTACAGCAAGTGCCAGTGGGATAAACTTATCATGGTCACTGGACCAAGAACAGCTCACTGATGTTTTCCCTTTGGGTGATTAGACCAGTAAGTTCCGTTCCTCTCCCTGCTCCCCTCTGACCCCAGAAATAAGCCACCTGTCGCAACATGGGCTTGTCATCTTAGCTGACAAAGGACACTACGCTCTGGAGCCACCAAACCACACCGGTGATGAGGCCTATTAAATCCCCAGGTCCTGCTGTCAATGAGAAGCTGAGTGTCCGACAATTATTGAATAAATTATTACATAAATTAACAAACTGGGGTACGGAGCCCGACTGCCAGATTTGAACATTAACTCTGCCACTGACTGACCCTGAGCGAGAAGCTTCACCTCCCCAAACCTCAGCTTCCTCTCCTGTGAAAGGAGTAATGCCAGCACCAGGAGTAACCAGCCCAGCCAGGCACAGCGGTTTCCCCGGGGCCGGTAGTCAGCGTTCAATAAAAAACATTTTTATCTTACCGCTCTCTGTCCCCCCACAACTGTTGAGTTAGAAGGCAACGAACTCTCTCGAATTGACTGGAAATAACCCATAAACAAATGGATGAATAGTATTATCCTAAGACAAAAAGCCTTTGCCATGGCAATACAAAAGTGTCTCACGGGTATTTGATCCCAAATGAGGCTCTGTTCCAGCCCCTGAATAACAAGGCTCAGAAAGGTGGCCAGCTCTGAGGGTCCTCGGACCCGTCAGCACGATGCGGAGTTGCATGTGCCTGTGATACCCCCGGCGAGCCCAGGGGCTGCTCAGGAGCCGGCCAGCCTCCCTCAGCCCCTCCCGGAGACGCCCTGGTGATAACTGTGCAGGCTTCTCTGAGGCAGACAGAAGCCACTGAAACCAGGCAAAGACATTGAAAATCGACAATCAGAAGCCGTTTCTGTCTAGAGGGAGCGAGCACAGGGCGTGGTGAGGAAGCACACCTCTAGTCGTTGTTCATAATATTTATTTTGGAAAAATATTTTAAAAAGGATTTTCTTCATTAACAAAACGGTAAAAAACTCAAATAACATTTGCACAATATTCCATAAATACATTTATATACAAAAAAATATAGTCACATAGACCCGAAGTGCCTTTGTACATATTTACCAAAGATTTAAATTATAAAAAATGAACATCACAAAATACTCAAGCTTTACAGATATCATGAAAAATATTTTTACAAGTCCAAAAAAATAACACACATTTTTTTCCACCTAGAAAAAACACATTTTAGTATCAAAAAGGACGATAAAGGCAGTGTTTGTGATTCTAATTCAAGAAAAGACCGGCTCATGAGAACCCAAAATATACACTTCAGGCAGTGCATGCTTCTCACGTAGTAATTAAGTCCATTCATTTAAATATATATTTTTTAAAAGCCAACTGTCCATAGTGCAATGGGAACGTCCTAGAAGGCAGTGCAACAGGCCCCTTGGCCGCCGCCGAGCTGCAGCCACGCCGCGTCCCCAGCTGGCCTCGGAAGGGAGAGCCGGCTGGGTCCGGATCGGTTCCTCAGCAGCAGTCCGTGGGTCTCCCTTTCCTCTTTCAAGCAGCATCCACTGGGGCATATATCCTTGGAATTTTATTTATTTTAAGAGAAACGGGAACTTTGCCGTATCACCTCCATTTCACACCTGGTGGGCCCACAGGACAGGATGGGAAGTTAGTTCCGGACAGAGGTCAGCACCCTCTGACTTCTCCCCCCCGCTTCCGCCCCGACACCAGGCCCGGGCTGCGCACTGACCTCGGTCGCTATGACGCACTCGTCTTTCTCCTCCGATATGACGTACACTGACTGGTACTTTGTGTCTTTTGAAGTAGAATACACGGAGTCTGGTCTCTTTCTTTCAGGTGCTTCTCCACTGAGGGGAAAATAAAAGAACCACAAGAAACACGTGAGAACAGGAAAAACCGACCAGCGCCGGCCCAGAGTGCAGCACCCCCTTCGGGGGTAAAGCTCAGGGGTAGAGCGTCTGACTGCAGAGTGCAGCACCCCCTCGCATCGGGGCGCCCTCCCAGGCTGGCCTTCCCGCGTGTCCCCTCCCGGCCCGCAGCACGCACCCCCTGAGTGTCGGGGTGCTCTTCTCCCCTGCAGAGCCCTGGGGCTGGCCCTTGGCGTCACGCTTGCCATGGGGGTCCCTGACGGCGGCCGCAGCGTCGCCCTTGAGGTCCTGCACTAGGTTATAATCCACAGCAGGGTAGCGGGCCTTGAGACCGTTCTTATCAGCCCCGTGGTCCCCGTGGAAGTCAACCTTCTTGTTGGTGTTCTTGATCTGCGTGGCCCCGATGACGCTGACACAGATGTCCTTCTCGCGCTGGCAGTTGGCCAGGTTGTTCATCGTCTCCGCCTCCCCACGGCAGGGCTCGGCAGGGGGCCGGTCCTTCTGCAGCCTGAGCCGCACGCAGACCACGGCGGCGGCACAGCCCAGCAGCAGCATGAGGACAAGCACCACGCCGGCGCAGACGGCCACCCAGGGGAAGGGCCCGGCCTGGCCCTCCACGTACTTCTCGGTGAGGTCCACCACCACCGCCGGGCCCGGGGGCGGCTCAGGCAGCAAGAACTGGCAGTTGGGGCCCCCGTAGCCCCGGGCGCACTCACACAGGTAACGCCGGTCCCTCTCGTGGCAGGTGGCCCCGTTGTGGCAGGGCGCGTGCTCGCACCTGCTGACAGGGGCACTGCAGTTCCTGCCCGTGTAACCTGGGGGGCAGGTGCAGGAGTACTCGTTCACGCCGTCCCGGCAGGTGCCCCCGTTGGCACACGGGGAGGAGGCACAATCATCCACGTTGTCTTCGCAGCGCCTCCCGGAGAAGCCGGCCTGGCAGCGGCACAGGTAAGCATCACCAAGGTCCACACACTGTGCACCTGGAACACAGGACACATTCTGAAGCCTCGCCACGTGTCAGTCCTGCAAGGTACACCAGGGATGCGAGACAGACGAGGCAGCCGTGGCCTAGACACAAACATCAGGGGAGGGGTCTGGTCCAGCTCTAGCTCAGTAAACTGCAAACAATACAGCTAATATCTCTTTTCTTGAAGTATTGTTTTAGCGTTTGTTTATTTTTGAAAGAGACAGAGTGCAAGGAGAGGAAGGGCAGAAAGAGAGAGAGGGAGACACAGAATCCGAATCGGAAGCAGGCTCCAGGCTCTGAGCTGCCAGCACAGAGCCGGACACGGGGCTTGAACTCGTGAACTGTGATGAGATCATGACCCGAGCCGAAGTGGGACGCTCCACCGACTGAGCCCTCCAGGCGCCCCAAGTTTATTTAAATTTAAAGAGAGAGAGAGAGAGAGAGAGAGAGAGAGAGAGACAGAGTGTGAGCGGGGGAGGGGCAGAGAGAAAGAGGGAGACACAGAATCCGAAGCGGGCTCCAGGTTCTGAGCTCCCAGCACAGAGCCCGACGCGGGGCTCAAACTCACGGGCCTTGAGATCATGCCCTGAGCAGAAGTCGGACGCTGACTGGGCACCCCCGCAGCTAACCCTCCCAGCAGCTCCGCTCCCACCGGGGCAGTACACGGCGCTTTGGCTACAGCGTTGCATTCACTTTCACGACATCCCACAAAAGACCCGGTTTGCAGATGAGGAAACTGAGGCTTAATGAGGCTGATGTGCTTGCCTGCAGTTCCACAGTCAGTGAAAAGAGCAGGGCTGACAACAGAAAGGAAGAGGAAGAAAGGAGGGAGTGGAAGAGGTCTCTGTCCTTCGAGAGCCAATCTGTTAAACCTCCTGCTATTCTGCCTCTAAAATAAAGCAGCCAACCTTTCTGTTGCTTCAGTGGGTAGAAACAAACAGGAGGCAGAGCCTGAGCCCACAGGACCGCCACGCCCTCTGTACGGCACGTGGACAGCAGAAGGACAGGGATTTCCTCTCTGTCAATCATCGTGGCTAATGGCGAAGCTCACAGAAGGCCTGGCATGTCTGGCCCCAGCTTCTCTCCTCTACCCACTCACAGGGGAGCAGGGGGCCCGTCAACAGACCACACTTCTGCACAGACACACCAGACGGTTATGTTTGGGTGACAGAGCTGAGCCGGGCTTCCCTCCAAAAACAGTCGCTGGGCTGCCATTGGAGCGCAATCTACTGAATCATGGCCCCGACTCAGACACCTGTGGTGCGATATGACCTTGAGAAGTCATCCCACCTCTCTGCCTCAGGCTCCCCCTGTAGGACGTGAGAATCCACACTCCTGCCTGCCTTTCTTGCTCCTTGAGCTTTTCCAGGCTCGGGGATAACACTTCTCTGAAGAGTTTCTGTTCAGTTGAAAGGGCTCCGTAACCTCGGGGTAGCTTGCAAAGTGACGTGTTTGGTTGGAAACGAAACGCGTGTGCTCTCTAATGTATTCTCATCAGTGCTGACCACCTGACAAAGTCTCAGAGCGGCTGGGGCTGCCGTCCTACCATGAGAACAGGGTGAAGAGCTGCAGGAATCCACCTTCTTCTCACAGTTAAAGCCGGAGAAGCCCACGGGGCAGCGGCAGGTGTACCCTCCTTCGGGGTTGTCTGAGCACCGTCCCCCGTTGAAGCAGGGGCCGTCGGCACACGCCATGGCACTCAGCTCACAGATTCTGCCGTAGAAGCCGGGTGGGCACGTGCAAGAGTAGCCATTCTCAAGATCCTGCGTCGCAGAGAAGATAAAGCGCTGTCACAGGGTCGCTCCAAGAGACCCACGTGATGCGTATCAAACCAGCGCCCCCGTTCAACAGGAAATCCTGCTGGGGCTGGACTCACCGTGCAGCTGCCTCCATTCCTGCAGGGGCTGGCGCCACACTCGTCGATCTCTGTCTCACAGTTGGCCCCTGAGTACCCCGGCCGGCAAGAGCAGGTGTAACTTCCCTGGCCCGTGTTAGTGCAGGTGGCCCCGTTCCTGCAGGGCTTGTGGTGTGTGCAGTAGTTCAGGTCTGCGAGGGGCAGAGGCGGGAGAAGGAGGAGAGAGAAGCCCAGGGTCAGACTCAGGGAGACCACACCTTCCCCGTGACGAAGCCAGGGAAGCCCAGGGCTGCTGGATGGGGCTGGGGGCTCACCCTGGTTGCAGAAGAGGCCACCCCAGCCCTCCTGGCAGTTGCACTGCCAGGGCTGCTGGCAGGTGCCGTGGAGGCAGCCTGGGTACCGGATGCACTGGTCACAGTACCGGCTCTGCCAGCCCACTCTGCACCTAGGAAGAGAGCACGTGTCAGGCGGGCGCCGGCACCACCGGGCTCAGGGTCACACACACGCCCGACCCACGAGAAACCACCTTCCAGCGACACCAACACGTCTCTGGCTCTCAAACGAGGCAGAACACCGGAGTCTCCTCGGGAGCCTGCAAACACGCCAGTGCCTCAGAGGGTCTGATTTCTGGGAGTGAGGCTCGCTGGGACAGCATTTTTAGGGGCTCCCTAGGTGGTCCTAGGATGCCAAAAAGTTTGGGAATCCCTGAACTAAACCCATCTTCAATGTCAATTCCTTGCAGACAGCTATCCGTACGTTCCCATAACCACCGAGGGGCTTCCGTGACTGACAACCTGTGACTCTACGTGTTTCTGTATGTTTACTAAGTAGAAACACGAGAATAACGGCTCCAACCCCGACAGCCAGCTACTCTTACCCTGACGTTTTCAAACCATCACCCAGAGCTACTTTACAAATACACCAGGTACACCAGGTACAAGGAGAAGCAGAGAAGGGAAAAACCCCTTTTGCAAACTTACTTGCACTCCCCTGGCTTGTCACAAAACCCATGCAGCTCGTCGCATCCTGGCAAGCAGATTGCTACAAGCAAAGAGAAGACACGGGGTCAAGCCCCACCCCAAGATCCTCCCCAACACAACCGGGGGCTGCTGCCACAATGCGGTTGGGACAAAACTTGCTCGGCTCAGTTGGCAGACCCAGCGGAGTTAATCTCCATCTGTGGAGTATCCACGGTCCTGCCTGGTAACTGTGGACTTCACTCCGCCCTGGGATGAGCATTCTTCTTAACACAGCGGCTCCAGGACAAAAGAGCGCGGAAACCCCCACCCCCACCCCATCCCCTTTTCTTCTGAGAGGGTCAGAAGTCCTTCCCCCTCCTCCTCCCCCACTTCCCAATTCTATGCACAAAGCTCCACCTCTTAATACCCAGAAAGTGTGTGTGTCGATAAGGGTGGACAGCTGGTATGCAGAGTACCAGGGCAAGACAGCTGCTCTATTGTCTCTGCTCTCCCAGCAGCTGCCCCAGTGCGACAATACCGCCTCCCCCGCCCCCCGCCCCCACCCGCACACACACCCCCGGCGTGTGTGTACACACACACACACACACACACACACACACAGACACGCGTGTGCGCGCGAGCCCTTTCCGCCAATGGGAGCTGGCGTGCGCTCCCGCCGCCTTTGCCCGGAGAGATCTAATCGATGGCACGCGCTAGCTGGGGGCGGGGAGAGGCTCCAGTGTTTGAATAAGAAGAAAAAAGTTTAAGTTTACGGCTCCCCCGCAGCGAAGAAGAGGAGGGAGGGGAGCGGACGGAAGGCAGCAGGCAGGCCAGAGGTCCCCGCGGGGGTGGGGGCTGATGTGGAGCTGGCTTCCTTCACAGAGTTATGAAACTCATCGACGAGCTGCTCCAAGTTTGTAAGACAACAGAGCCCGCTCAGGCCCGGGCGCAGCTCAAAACAATGACCTACCCTCACCCCCAGGCACGAATCAGAACTGAGAGACCTCCCTGGCAAGAGGTTCTGGGCCTAAGGACAAGGAGGGAGGTTCGCCTGCTCCAGGGCAGGAGAAGGAAAAGTCACCAGGGTTTCTGGGGAGTTCCAGGGCCCACCCAACCCCTGGGTGTGCAGACTGGCAGTGAGGCCTCCGCAAGCTGAAGAGAGGCCTACCAACCTGAAGCAGGCCCAGGAGCCAGCGGAAGCCTCGCAGGCCTCCCGCTCTCCACCAGAATCATGGGGCAGGCAGGGCCCGTCGCCTTTTGGTGAAGGTATTTCTTCCCCAGGCAAGGTGTTTTGTGAGTGCAGTGTGCGCTCTGGCAGGCGGGCCCCTTCCCCTGTGGCTCTTGCCTACCCAGGCCTCAGCTGACACACACAGTCTCCTGTCCACAGACCCCTATGAGGGACTATGTCATTAACAACACACGTGCATCACGCAGAGTATTTGCAAATACGCTCAGTCTGCGAAAAGGCCAAGCACACCAACTCTAGAAAGAAAACGAAGCATTTTTCCAATGAGACGCTGTCCTGGCAAAGAGAACTGGTTTGGAGCATGCGCCTCCACATATAAACTCTCCTCTCTGTTCCTCCCTTCCTTCCTCCTCTCCCTCTCCCTCCGGCTCACTTCCTGACCCCTGGCCCTGTCTCCAAAATCCTCCCTGATTAAGAAAGGCAGCTTCCCATAGCGGAAGTTAAAACTTCTGAGTTGACCCCAACCCCGCTGCTGGCTAGCTGTGAGGTCTCGGGCGAGTTTCTCCAGCTCTCTGGCCTCAGTTTCCCCACCAGGGCATCACTCCACTGCTGACATCTGAGGACCCCACTGGCTCACAGAATACTCCCACCCCCACCAAGGAGGGAAGCAGGAACTCACGTTCAGTGCAGTACTGGCCTTTCCAGCCAGGATCGCAGACTTTTTCCCCCCTCTCCCCGCAGGTGAAGTGGCCGAAGGCGTCGTCTCGGGGGCGACAGAAGACGGAGCAGCCGTCCCCGTAGTAGTGCTCGTCACACACAAAGCGGTAGGAATACTTGAGGTCTGTTCGGCCGCTGCTGTGCAGGTCCTGAGACCACTCCTCGCCCACAGTCAGGTGCCTCTGCGTGGCCAGGCGGCTGATGAGTCTTTCTGGGTTTTCTGTGGGAAGACGGTGCTCCCGTTGGTTCTGACCAAGAACCCAGAGGCTTGGGGCACTGGGGGAGGTAGAACTGACGTGTGATGCAGGGGAGGAGGCCACAGGCCCTCCACCCAGAGCCTCCTGCAGGAGTTTGCAGAATGTAAGCACAGAAGCTGATTTCTGGTGGAGACAAGAGGTCAAGTGCGTACTGACTGGGGAAGCTGTTGACTTGGTTTTGGAGTTTTTTGATTTGTTTTTACCTGTTGTGAGGTCATCAGGAGAATCTGTGTGAAGGGCTTCAATGATCAGCGAAAAGGTGCCCTGGGAGAAAGGGGGAGGAGACAGAAGATAAACTAGAAATGTTAAAAACCAAAACCCAAAGGGACGCTCTCGGGTCACCCAAGTCCGGAACCGCCTGGGGTGCGGTGCAGATCTGTGTGCCCAGAGCAGGGTCTCCGGACATCTCTTGCCTGTTTTCACTTTCCTCAAGGAAATGGAAGAACTTTTTAAAGAGTGGTTTCCTGACGTGTTTTTTCAGCCTGTTAGTACAGGATATCACGTTAAAAAAAAAAAAAAA